ACAACAGTGCCTTCATGACTTCACTGTAAAACAGCGATCTCCATAATACTCTAATGCAAAACTATTATTCAGTAACTAAAAACCACTACAATATATTTGTTTACTGGGCGAATAGAAAAATATTAAATTGAAAAAAGTATCGTAACATAAGTAATGCTGAACATTTGATTGTCTCAAATTCGTTAATTGCGCTTTTCTATCAGCCGGTTATCATCTTCATAACTCAGTCATAGGATATAAATTCCGACGTAGTTTATCGCTCAGATGCTATATATCTGCGTGTTGATCTATTAAGAAAAAACAATTAAGTAGCTTTTATATAATCAGCATTTTTATTTTAATGAATGTAGGAACTTTGCATCAATAGTTTTGTGTTTGTAGGTAATCGGCATATTGATTAAAACAGTTTAAATGTTTCATCATTATTTATCCGTTTTATAATAAATTAGTGAGGCGTAAATTGTAATTAAGTAGTTAGAGCGAATATTTCTTTTAAATTTAGTTACTTATAATAGATGGATGAAGCATAAATAAAACTAGATAATCCACTTAGAGGCATTCTAAGTTTATTAACCATCCTCACTGTGGCTTCACTCAAATCACTTCATGTGGAAAGCTATAGACATAAGTTCGACCAGGGCAAACAGAAATGCAAGATAGAAGCAACGTAAAGGAAGCTAGAGAATTTTTAGAGGCCTGGCACTTCCAAATATGCAACATGAATACAAAAACGACTAACAACTTCAAGGTCACAGTGACCAGAAAAAATGGTCAGTCAGTTACAGAATTATCTCAGAACTCACTTTTTAAGTATGTACTGATGGTGTTATTCAGAAGAACAATCAAATGTCATGAATAAACTGATAATTCCAAAAATTTAAAGCAACAAACTAGAAAATGCACTTTATAAAACAGTTAGCTAAATGGTCAAGAAAACTCGAAACAGCTCATAATTTCAACGATAAACAACAATCTCCATAATTCTGTGATGAAAAATCGTAAAATGTGCCCATTAGTGACTAGCTCTGTGCGGACATATCTGTAAGATCCACTTTTGAAGGCTTTGTTTGTGAAAATCCCTCTGTGGTGTGAGCTACTAATAAGTAGTATATGACGTGAGCGTCAACGTAATGTCTGGCAGCAGAAGATGGGGGAACATCAAGAAACGAAGAGTTAGAACACAATGGAATTTGTATGAAACCCATGAACAGTAAAATGTCAGACAATGGATTGATGTTTTGCAACAGGAACAGTCCAGTTCGATATGATGAACTGATATTTTGCAAATGAACAATTTACGATATGGTTTTCCGATTTTACTGAGTAACTCTGTAATTTTCGTTAAATACAATTCGGTTGTCGCACCTGTGTTCTCCTTCACTACACCTCCGTGCATAAATTTTTAATTTTTCCTTATTGATTCCATTCAGTTGAACATTTTGTCAATCTGTTCGATTCCGTTTTGGGATGATAATATTTGTATTTTATTATAGTTTCTAGTTTTTCTGCCTTTACTGAGTTTGTATGTTTCTCTCTGAACTGCATTATCTTGTTTAAGCTGATAATTAGTCATGGCGACAACCATATTGATTTGTTCCTCTTTTAATTGGGTTGCGTACTCTGTCTGGAATTGTGCATTTTGGTTGTGAATTGCAGCACTCTTCCAGAATAGGAAACACTCTGTGTTGTAAAACAACCAAATATTATCTGTTGAAAGAATCTGATCTATCCAGGTGGGATACAATATCATTTACTTGAATAATTGAACAGTTGTTGGTGGAATAGCTGATTGGTAATATTGTTTAGGTGATGATGAACATTTATATTTATGATGAATATTAGAACCGTTATTTACCCAAATCACTTGTGTTCGTTTTAAACTGGGCAAGACGCGTATCTAAACTACCTGGACAGTTATTCCTCAATCCAAACCTTAGTTTGGATCCTACGTTTCTTCGAGTTCTAGTGAGAAGTTGAGACCAGTGGAGTTTAACCTGTTTCGGGTGTGAAATAATCCTCATTAAAGATGGTGGATGAGGTGGAGTCCATGGATGTGCACTGCTGATGAGTCCCGTACTAGAACGAAATGGCTACGCTGTGTTTCCTGGTTTCTACTGATGGTCTAACAGTGATTCATTCATGATTTCAATGAAAAACAAAGTACACACCAAATATAATTCACAAAATAGTGTTTAGAAGTAAACTGAGAAATTCAGCCAGTAAAATGTTAATTCATAGTACGATAAACATATATGATATAACCAACAGAGATAAGATAAAAATAACCGAAATTTAACGAATGAAATTTTCTTTTCAACGAAGTCATTCACTTAAACTGTACATTCATATTTATGACTGTTCAGCAAATTGATAATTCTATAGAAAGATGTGCAGCCACAAATTTACTTACTCCTATGGAGCAGGTTACAACGGCTGCACAAAGTGACCAATTTCCAAACACATCACAGAACTTTATCCAGCGAGGTTTGTAAAACAGAAATTCAAAGCTATCACGAGCTCAATGCAAGAGCAACACTAGACAAGTTGCTCCGAAGGAGTTATTTTTGAAAAGTCAACAAAACTGGATCAAATGGAGTTTCAGGCAAAAACATATGCACTGCTGAGGCTTTGGCAAGCCCGCCAATTCAAACCTGAACTCTGCGTGCTAAAACGTCATATTCAACCTCTCATTCTTCTCTCGCCCTAACTCCCTTTCTCCAGTATATTCCCAATCTTGTTTTGCTATTTATTGTAATTTGTATTTTTAAACGGTGATCAATTATTATTCATCATCAATTTTCATGATCATTATTCAATGGTTATTATGACCTTTACGTTTGTCTTGACAACTGTTATAAAATCCCCACCACATTAGAGCATTAATATATGAACGAAGAATATTCTTTTCACTGAATTATAATCAGATACTGCAGCTAGCTATATATCCTAATTGATAGTCCAAAACAGATGGTCAGGTTTACAACAAAATAGATCGTATGTGAAATTGGCATTTTTGATGAGATCAGTCAGAGCATGGAATAAATATGGTCAACATGGAGTGAGCGAAGTAACAATGCCATGACAAATTCTTTCGAATGTTTAGCGGATCATTCTTCATAAATTCGCCAAGAAATATTAAAGTGGGGTGAGTGTTAAGTAAACTGATCATTTGTTGTGGAGATAAGTTGCGTTGTTGAACCAATTATGAATAATAACAGCACAAAGATACATGAATAACGATAACCAAGACAATAACATTTCATTGAAATTACAGATTGATCAATGTTAAACTACCACTTTTTTGAAGGTAGGAGCACTGGACGGCCATTTCGTCCTAGTATCGGACACATTATCAGTAGACATCTACGGCGTCCACATGCGGAAATCTTATCCAGGACCTTTGATCTCGATATTACGACACCTCATCCATTGATTTAGTGGATTGGATGATGGCCCTCGCGTTCATCCGTGAGAGATTTATTCATACTGGCGCTATGACTCCTTTCCAGTGAATGGCTCAATATTGAGCTGTTCACAGACTTGCTTAGACATACTGAGGTGCTAGCTACTTATAAGTAGTATATGACGTGAGTGTCAACACAATGTCTGGCAGAAGAAGATGGGGGAAGATCAAGAAACGAAGAGTTAGAAAACAATGGAATTTGTATGAAACACATGAATAGTGACAATCGATTGATGTTTTGCAACAGGAACAGTCCAGTTCGATATGATGAACTGATATTTTGCAAATTAACGATTAACGATATGGTTTTCCAATTTTACTGAGTAACTCTGTAATTTTCCTTAAATACAATTCCGTTGCCCCACCGGTGTTCGCCTTCATTACAATACTAGGAGGTGTTCGCGAGCACGAAACTGTAAATTCCTAGAACTTCCACCTACATAAATTGTTTCACAAGAGTAGTAGAATTAATAAATAACAAAAACGAGGTGATCATTTCGGGTAATTCATCTTTTCTGGAAACTGCATACATCGCTTTATTTGCCGATTTAATGACTGAACGCGATTGTTCGTGTTATTGTACGATGCCGTTCACACTGGTTTACGATATATCCAACAGCTGAAAATGTACTGTTCAATCTCTTTATCCATTTGGTTGATAATTCTAAAATACTGATTACATCTAAGAAATAAATGTATTATAAGCAATACCTTCTAACAGTTTCAGCTGTCACTAATTAACTGAGGTAACTCTTTACAATCTCATTACGAGTCTAGAAGCATTATCATTTCAGTGAGTATCCATTTAGTTTTTTCCGACACACGTGAAACGCACATAGAATTATATCTGCATTACGATGTGTAATAAAATCAGCTGCGATTTCCGCTTCTGTGCAATCCATTACAGACGTTTTTTTAATCAATGCGTCTCCCATAATTTTAGCGAACCTATCCATTACCCATGCTATATTGGACTGCGATTCGTTCAGCGTCCACGCAAACAGAAACGGACGCCCTCGGTCAGAATTGTCAGTTAATACTAACTAAAACAATGATTATCTACAGGGTAGAACTGGTCATACAACATCCTTACTTCTTATCATTCGTGTTGCATGTAGTATCCATTCAATTCACTTTGGAATATTTATGATATAATCCTATTTCCTCATAACTCCTAAAACTAAATCTAGTGATCAGTCCACTGTTCGAATACTCTCTTAGTTCACCATTCTGTCTAAACATACTAAATACTTGCATTCAGGCACTGTAACCTAAAAATATATACATACCCACCTGTGGATAGCTGAGCGTTCATGGTTTTTACATCTTATCAGTTCGTTCTTCAACATTTTCTATTACTTCATCGATTGATAATGAATGTAGCACAGTCAACTTCAAATTTTCCTTCTTTTATGAGGACAGTCTTCTAGTCCGTAGATCACAAATCACCCAAGAACTGTTGTAAAGGTAATTGCGAAGCATTCTGAAGGATCATATTGTGGTGCTGTGGTGCGAACTACTTATAAGTAGTATATAGCGTGAGTGTCAACGTAAAGTCTGGTAGCATAATATGGGGGGAAGATCAAGAAAGGAAGAGTCAGAAAACAATGGAATTTGTATGAAACGCATGAAGAGTGACAATGGATTGATGTTTGGCAACAGGAACAGTCCAGTTCCATAGTATGAACTGATCTTTTGCAAATGAACGATTTACGATATGGTTTTCCTATTTTACTGACTAACTCTGTAATTTTCGTTAAATACAATTCGGTTGCCCCCACCTGTGTTCTCATTCACTACATTTGGTGTCGCTGCCTGCTCGGAGGAAGGGGCTCCCGTGGCCGAAGGAGTTGCAGGACGGAGATAGGCGGAGCTTCCTGGGGGAGTTTGGGGCCACGGTGGAGCCGGTGGGGGCCTGAGGCGGAGTTGACGGTGCTGGGGACGCTGCGGGGAGGTGAGGCGAAGGCGGTACACGACAGCCTGGACGGTGCCACCGAGGAGACGGCGTGGAAGACGGTCACCGGGCGGCTGATAATGGAGTTCGACAGCCCAGCGGACAGGGAGGAGGCGCCGCAGAGGTTCCGGTTGGCGCGGCTGTCGGCCGATGGTGACCTGTTGGTGCTTGCTGTGGAGCTCACCGGATTGCGCCGTGAGGAGTGGGCGGGGCACAGTCTTTGGCGTCGCAGTTTGTCGAGTGTGTGCCTGCCGCCGTGTTCCAGCATCGGGAACTTGTAAACGCTACACGTTGGATAGATGCCGTATCCATTCCAGACCAGTGATCAAGAACGATGACCGGCATATTGTAGCGTGTCACGGAATACGGAAGGTGATATTAACTGACCAGGGGCTCTGTTTTGAAGGACTACGACGACAGCTGATTAAAAGGGGGGACGAGTGTGGTGCTGTGGTGCGAACTACTTATAAGTAGTATATAGCGTGAGTGTCAACGTAAAGTCTGGTAGCATAATATGGGGGGAAGATCAAGAAAGGAAGAGTCAGAAAACAATGGAATTTGTATGAAACGCATGAAGAGTGACAATGGATTGATGTTTGGCAACAGGAACAGTCCAGTTCCATAGTATGAACTGATCTTTTGCAAATGAACGATTTACGATATGGTTTTCCGGTTTTACTGACTAACTCTGTAATTTTCGTTAAATACAATTCGGTTGCCCCCACCTGTGTTCTCATTCACTACAATATGATATATTCCTCCTGTTGCAAAGTGACAGGATAAATAATCTAAAGTTCTAACGGCTTTCTGATAATTTTTAAACCTTGTAGTTTACTATTACGACCAAATTTACACTGAACCACCAAGAAAATGTATTTAAATCTTGTGTCCTTCAGTAATTTACTCGCCAGATGAATGTAATGGGCATGAGTAGTCTACAAGGCGATTACACATTTACTTAGCGCTTTTTTGAGTTAAGACCAGCTTTTGAAATTTCTGGCTAGTATTATACGTTGAAACATAATTTACGTCAAATGGCATATCTTGTGAGCATGAAAGACCACAAACAGTAGCAAAGTGTAGACTACAAAAGAGAGGAATGTTAGTTTATACAGTTTAGAAAGATTTTGTTATTTTAGTTCAGAGAAAAACTATCCAAATGTAAAAACATCTTTGCATCCATGAACATTCAAGCAGCCTACAGAAGTTCAAATATGTTATAACCGCTGTATTTTAAGCCGTTCGAGGTCACTTGAACTGGCTTGAGCTTGCTCCATTGAAAAGATTTTACGTTTTTACCGTGTCATCACAGGACATACGAATACACGCTCCATTACTAACACATGGTAGTATGTACAATACTTATCATTTGCTTAGAACTTGATTGCACACACGATATAAATTACTAATTTGGAATGATAACAATAACCAAATATAAAATTGTCAATGTAAGTCGATATTAGTTTTTAATCAACCGTACCAATGAAAAAAAAATGAACGACTTAACTCGATTACAAGCCATGATCATTTTGTATTTCATGAGGATCATGGAGTAAGTTTTGTCGACATTCATTACTCATTCACAAACAGGTTAATTATCACAGATTGATATAAAACTTTACAGAAAACAATCTTAAACTTCAATAGATAACCAGCCATGATATATTCTGTTAATGAAACCACATTCGATCATTAAGAAAGTGTTTCGCATGATATGGCATGACACTGGTTATTTCTAACTGATTCCAGTTCGTAAACTCAACGAAACAGAAATGTGGCATATGACAAATAACAGCTAATACATCACACCTTTATGTAGAGTTAAATATTCGATACCATAATAGCTGAAACAGAATAAATAACTGCAATACAAAACATTCTGTGTAATCCTACTTGCTGAGATGTAGTAAAAATAAGAAAATTCCATATTAATAATCGTTGCCGTCAATCTTAAGGTTCATTAAATATCATTTTAAAACTCTTGATAATAATATTTACTTTCTTAGTACACAATATTTGTACCAAGCTGTTACGCATGAACGTGGACATGTCATTTGATATGCTTGAACTATTACGAGTTTACCTAAGTCGGAAAACGAGAGCGAGGATCGAGGATCCGGCGACACGATATGCTACTCAAATCCGATTATCCCAACCCCCATTGAATAAAAGAAGAAGACTTGATATGAAGTAGAACCTGTATTCTACAAGCATCCAGAAAGTACGAGGTCCGGACACGGAACAGAATCAGCATCCCGGACTAGGGATTCGGGTCCTGGTACGGGTCATAAAAAATTACAAGTAATGCAATCTATACAGTTTGATCGAATAGGAAACAACCTTGAAGTACTTGACATTGATAGTTACGATGTCCAATAGGAATCAACCAATAGAATTAGACTTACAAACAATTCTCGAAGGATATTCGATGAATATCCTAACAACTTGGTTTTTTAGAAATTAGACGAATGATTGCCTCCTTCAACTTTATCATAAAAATTGAATTTATTTAGCAGACAAATAACACCATAGACAGTTAATTTTTTTACGTTCAGTGACATGTCCATTCTTGAATATAGTATTTACGATCGGCAAACCCTATCTGCACCATTGAGTTAAGTTTAAAAGTTTCTTACGTGCATAGTTTTGTCCTATCTGTTCATCTAATTCAGTTTTACAGTGGTGCGCATCAACGACTCCCGCGCGCAGACGCTCAACCTCTAGACAATATATGACTCATGATTTCCACGAAACTTAGCAATCTTCACAATCCTTTCATGCAAATTATCATGTGCTCACTAGTGTCTAGCGCCATGAGGAGATTTCTCCGAGTCCTAATGAGAAGTCGTGACTATTGGAATTCAACCCTGTTCAAGTGTGAACCAATGCTTACTGAAGACAGCGGATAAGGTTGCGCAATGTTGTAGATTGATCGAAGTTAATTGTTAAAACCGTTGGATACCAGCTCAATGTTCTAGAGTTTAAACGTTAATGCATGAGACCGAAGGTATTTGGTTCGATTCACGCCAGTAGGAGTCATGGATGCACACTTCTGATGAGTCCCATACCAGGACCAAACGGCCGTCCTGTGCTTACACTTTGCTAATGATGGACTAACAATCATTGATTCCTGAATCCACTGAAACTCAACTCAACAACTCCACAACCCTACAGTACATAAAATATAACATTTTTTTTTACTATTTTATTTATCCAAATGACTCGAGTACTAAGGCTGGCGTAAATCATCTAATGAATTGTTTGAAAAATCAAAATTTGTCTAATAAAAACCTTACATAAGTATTATTATGATCAAACAAATCAAAACTTCAATGTTTACTGATTCGGTTTTCATAGTGTGTGTGTGTGTGTGTGTGTGTGTGATCATCATTCGATGCACATCAATAATTCTGTAAACACAGTAATCATGTTTGTTTTATGGTGTGTGTGTGTGTGTGTGTAAGTTTGTATAATCCATGAGAAAGATAACTGAGTTGTGGTTTTTTTTTTCAAAAAAAACAGGAACCTATTAAAACATACTAGTGTGATTATGTATGTATTCAATATGAAAAAAGATGTACTTTGAAACGCAACTGTAATCTCAATTAGAAACGTCTTATTTTTGAAATTTATCATCATCCATCTTTGATACTTTATATTTATTGTTAAGTTCAAGTTCAAATATCAGCATAATTCGCGCGCTTTATGAGAACAATGATTTTGAAAGGAACAAAATTAAATCGTAGACAATCTTTAAGAAAAATGCACATAATCAAATCTAACTTTACACTAGTCGGCTTTTATAAAGTTTAGTATTATAGAACAAACAATGAGAACACGCAGTTGATCTGTAAAAATGTGTTGTAATGCATTTGCGTCAACTATTCTGATCGATCTAACTCCGCCAGTAGAACCTTCGGGGCTACTGCCCGTCCCAAGCCCGGATAAAGGAGGAGGGTTGGACATGGGGTTGGCGACCCCATTCCGTCAAAAACCAACTTGCCAAAAAAACGCTAACCAGAAAAAATAATTCAAACCATTTTAACTCTGCCCTGGGAGTTGGAAGAAGAATTATGACGTCTCGTGATGAAAGCCGAGTTCCCTCGGAAGTCACGGGGCCGATGCCTCTTCTGACAACCAGAGCAACCATTTTTTTAGGTACATGGAACGTTCGTACATTGTGGGAGACTGGAAGACTATTTCAAGTTGCGGCAGAAATGAGAAGATACAACCTCGAGGTGCTTGGAATCAGTGAAACACATTGGACACAAGTAGGACAACTGAGACTAGCTTCAGGGGAACTGCTGTTATACTCTGGTCATGAAGAGGAAAATGCTTCACATACACAAGGAGTTGCATTGATGCTGTCCAAACATGCACAAAAGGCACTAATAGGATGGGAATCTCATGGACCCAGGATCATTAAAGCATCCTTCAAAACAAAGAAAGAGGACATTACAATGAACGTCATCCAATGTTATGCACCTACCAACGACTACAATGACGACGACAAAGATCAATTCTACGAAAGGCTGCAGTCAATCGTCGATAAATGTTCACCAAAGGATTTGACGATTCTTATGGGAGACCTGAATGCCAAGGTTGGAATGGACAACACTGGATATGAAGACATCATGGGACGACATGGACTGGGAGAAAGAAACGAAAACGGTGAGAGATTTGCAAACCTATGTGCCTTCAACAAACTGGTCATCGGTGGCACAATATTCCCGCACAAACGCATTCACAAAGCCACATGGATTTCACCGGATCACACTACTCAAAACCAGATTGATCATATCTGTATCAACAAAACGTTCAGAAGGACTATGGAGGATGTGAGAACCAGGAGAGGAGCTGATGTAGCCTCAGATCACCATTTGCTAATCGCCAAAATGAAACTGAAACTAAAGAAGCACTGGACAACGGGACAGACAACATCACACAAGTTTAATACGGCCTTTCTTCGGGATACTGTAAAGCTCAACGAATTCAAGATAGCCCTCACCAATAGGTTCCAGGCCTTACAGGATCTACACAATGGAGAGGACACAACATTGGAGAACAATTGGAAAGGGATTAAGGAGGCAATCACTTCAACATGTCAGGAGGTCCTTGGTCGCAAGAAGCAGCATCATAAGGAATGGATCTCTGTTGATACTCTCGCAAAAATTGAAGAAAGGAGGAACAAGAAAGCAGCAATCAATGTCAGCCGAACAAGAGCGGAGAAAGTTACCGCACAAGCTGCATACACAGAAGCAAACAGGGAAGTGAAGAAGAGCATCAGAGCTGACAAACGAAAATGCGTGGAAGATCTAGCAACGACGGCGGAAAAGGCTGCAAGAGACGGAAACTTGAGACAATTGTATGAAACTACAAAGAAGCTCGCCGGGAACTATCGTAAACCAGAACGACCAGTGAAAAGCAAGGAAGGCAAAGTAATCAGCAACACTGAACAACAGCGAAATAGGTGGGTAGAGCACTTTAAGGAACTCCTAAATCGACCAGCTCC